CCCCAAAACCCCAAAACCCCAAAACCCCAAAACCCCAAAACCCCAAAACCCCTTTTCGAAAATGATATATTGAAATTACTCAAATTAAATGGTTGGCCAATATTACAAGAAATAATCTGGTGTCCTTTTAGTTACATGTGTTTCTCCACGTCTTGGAGCTGGATCGAAAGTCAAGAAATTCTTCCTCATGTTTTCATCTACTTCCATAATACCTGCCTCGTTTCCACATCTGTAGCAATAGTTTGGAGCTGAGAATACTGTAATAACATTCTGATCATGAGACCAGTTGTATCCATTCATTACTAATTGATGTGCTCTTGCGATCGTTTTCAGGCTATTTGCTTGATTAAATTGCTCTGAGATGTCTTGACCAAAAGTATAACCTGCTCCTCTTGGACTGATTCCCCATCCAGTTCTTTCATCAGGATCTGACCAAAGGAGATCACACATTGGTCCTTCATGAGGAACCTCCTGGATTCTATCAAGATTCCTAATTTGATCCAAAGTCTCTAAGCTGGGGGATAATCCACCATGGAGACAAAAGATCTCACCTTCAACTATTGCTGTAAGTGGGAGCATATCAAACAGCTCGGTGAAATATTTCCATACATTAGCATTACCATATTTTCTTTGACATTCATCGTAAAATCCATAAACCTGTGTAATTTGCCTACTTTCGTGATTTCCTCTCAAAATGGTAATCCTGTCCTTATATCTCACCTTAAGGGCAACAAGAAGAGTGACTGTTTCTACTGAGTAGTATCCTCTATCAACATAATCTCCCATGAACAAGTAATTAGTATCTGGAGTTTTGCCTCCAATTTTGAAAAGCTCAGTGAGGTCGTGGAACTGGCCATGCACATCACCGCAGATAGTCACTGGAGCTTTTACAGGTTGCACATTTTCTTCTTTCTGAAGTACTTCCTTTCCTTTCTCGCACAGTTGTTTTACTTCTGATTCAGAAAGAGGTTTGCACTCGCTGAGCATTTCGATCTGGCCATCAAGAATCTTAATCTCTTCGTCTTCGAGGTAAGACATAATTAATTTTCACAATAATTCAAAATATTTTATTTAAGTCGGGGTTTTGGGGTTTTGGGGTTTTGGGGTTTTGGGGTTTTGGGG